GTTGTTGTTGTTGTTGTCGTTTGTGTATTATAATTATTATAATCATTAATAAAACAAAACACAAAAAAAATAAAAACATGCGATAAAAGAAAGAAAAAAAAATTCCAGGAAGTAAATGACTGAGTTAAATAAAAAAAATTTTTTTTTTTTTTTTTTATAATTCCAGCAAAACGAAATTTATTAACATAATTGGGATAAACATATTTTTGGAGAAAACAACCGGACAGAAAAAAATTAATAATAATAATAATAATAATAATAAATGTATAAAACGTAAAAATGGTAAAAAAAAAACAAAATTAATTTTTACGATTGTTTTTTTTTATGTCGTCCACGTTTCCTTTGAATTTTGTTTTTGTTTTTGTTTCTGTTTCCTTCTCCCCTCCCCTCCCCTCTCTCTTTTACTCCCGAAAAAATTTTTTATTCGAAAAAATCCCCCTTCCCCTTCAAAAAAAAAATTTTAATATAACAAAAGGAAAAAAAAAAATTTTTTTTTTAAAAGGTTGTCGTTGTCGTTGTTTGTGAGCCTTTGTCACAATCAAACATATATTATTTCAATGTCAAATGAATTATTTATACCTGAACGACGAATAGGTATCCATTATTTTTTTATAAAAAAAAAGGGAAAATTCATTGTTTGGATTATATCGATATAAAAAAATTTTTTTTTTTTTTATATTCCATCATCGCGTTATGTTCAATTAAACATAATTAAATTTTTTTTTTTTTGTTTCATTTCAGGTACGATGACGACAATTGATTTTTATCATGTGGTTAAAAGAGAAATTTTTTTTTTTTTAGTTTCTATTTCGTTTCTTTTTTTTTAAAACAATAATAATAATAATAAAAACAATACGCTTTTTATTATTATGTTTCCAACTGGCCACTTGGGAATGGCTTTAATGTTGACATTTATTTATTTATTTAATATTCTAATTACACGATTTTTCCATTAAATTTGGGAGAGAAAAACAAGGGGACAAACGCTCCATTCATCCCTTTTAGCCATTAAAAAGTTGCACGAGTGTTAATAAAATGATTAATCAATGGATTCTTTGTATTGCTCTCCAAACTACAGATTGAGTTAGTTGGTCTGTCAGAGTCTGTTTGGTCCATGAGAGTCAGAACTAGTCTAAGGTTGGTCGTAGAAGAAGCTGTTATGATTTTTTATCAAGATGAGGAAGCTGATCTTGACCTTATCTCGACGTTATCGCGACAAAATCTTCGTTTGTGCTACTGTCGTGACGTCTCCTGCTGACTCGTAGTTGTTTTGAACTTTCCATACGATTTACAGAAAATACAAACGCGAACATAAGTGGAAGTAGAATGCTATCAGATCCACCTACGGATGTTCTTGTTGTCCCTGACGGCTGGAACGACACACTCCAGACTCTTTTAACTCTTTCTGATAAACCAGACTGATTCTGTATGATGAATAGGGCGTTTGTACCTTGTTTTACCCCAACTTAATGGAGAGATCGTGTAATTAGAATATTAAATAAGTAAACGTCTCCATCAAAGCCTTTCCCAAGTGGCTAGAATTAGTTGGAAACACAAGATATCAACGCGATCATTGAGATGACGTCATCAAAATCAATTCCTCAATCATAACAATAATATTAACAAGTAACGATTTTTTTTTTTTTAATGTTGGTCAACGTGTTTCACGTATTATCGTAGTCACCCCTTCCCCCTCCCCTTCGTATGTTTTACGTAAATCGTTTTGTGCATTAGGAATAAATTTAAAATGTTTAATTATAGATTTATTAGGTAGTAAATAAAAACAATAACAAACAATCGAGTTTGTTATAACGATTAAAAAAAAAAAAAAACATAAAAACAAAAACAATAAATTTCTGTTAAAAGGACTATTTGAGAATAACAAACAATTAAAAAAAAAAAAAATTATTTATGTACATAATTAATTTTAATTTATTTACGAGTTAAAAATAAATATGGCTGACGTATTAAAATTAAAAAATAAAATAAAAATTTTTTTTGAAAAAAAAAATAAATGTAGCGTGAAAAAGTTTTTTTTAATAAAATAACAACAAAAAACATGGCGAATGTTGTGTTGTTATCGTATGATGTTTGTTTGCCAGAGCAACAAACGGTAAGAATAATAATTAATTAAAATCGTTAACAAACGCAACACGCGTAACAAACAAACATACCTTTTTTTTTTTTTTAATTCGAATAAACAAACAAACGAAATTTAAAAAAATTTTTGCTCGGATTAATAAATTATAAACGTACGACAAAAAACAAACGAATAAATACAAATAAATAAATGCGTGAACAACCGAACAACAAACGATAAAAATAAATAAATAAATTTTTTTTTTTTTTACGAAAAACGATGATGGAATGTGAAAAAGTTAATAAAAAATTTCTTTCTGACAGTGACGTATCAAGAATTACTAATATTTTTTCAATAAAAAATATTTGTATTGTTTGTATTTTGGAAAAATTTCAATTCTCGGAAAACCGGAAATAAACAAACACAACAACCTTCCGGTTTAAAAAATTTTTCATCATAGAATACCTTTTTTTTTAACTTGAACTTCATTTAAAAGTTTTATTTTAATTCTAATTTCCCCCTTTTCCCCTCCCCATCAAAAAAAAAAAAATTTTTTTTCTATTTTCCGCCATTTTGTTTTCTATTTTTTTTTTACTTTCCGGAAATAAATCGTAGAAATTGTTCGAACAATAGTTAAATTTTTTTTTTTTTTATAACAACAGTTAATACGATTATCAGCCCGGCGCTTAAATTTATTCTCCATATGACGTCATTTATAAATTTCGAACGTGACGTCATTAAAAAAAAATTTTTTTTTAAAATAATTAATAAAGTTTCCTGTTACTTTTGACGGACTTGTGTTGACACGGTCAAAGTTAAGTACCTTTTTCTTTCTTAGGTTATTTAGTCAAATTTAGGTTAAACATCAACACAACCCTCCCGAGGGTTAAAATCTCATTATGAACTTTGACCTTTACGTAAATTTTATTTTTTTTTTTTTACGATGATGACTTCTAATTACCGTCGAGTATTTTTTCCCATTTTTTTTATTTTTTTCATTTTCTTTCGTATTTTCGCTCGTGAGTTTAATTAAGTACGGTTAAAAATAAATTTAAAATAATCATCAATAAATTCACCATTAGAAAAACAAACAAACAAACAAACGAACAAACGACAAACAAAAACAACCTTGAAATTAAAAAGCGTTCAAATTTAACACCTGAAAAAAAAAACAATTTTTTTCCTTTCTTTCCGACTCTCTCACGCCGATCGAATGGAAATAAATTATTGATTGTTATCAATGGAAAAAAAAATTAATTGATAACGTTCGATGACGTTATCAATCAATAATCATTATTATTATTATTATTATCATTATCAATCGAATTTTACCAAACGGCAAACTAACAAATAATAACGATTTAGTTATTTTTTATTTCACTTCTCTGTAATATTTTTTTTAATAATTTATTTATAAATTTCGTGACTGTAATATTTATTTTTATTTTTTTTTCGTTAAAGTTGGTAAACCTGAAAAACCGAAAAAAAAAAATCAACGTGCGTGAATGAAAGACAAAAAATTTTTTTTTAACTTCCTTATTTACTTTCCCATGATTAATTTTTTTTTTTTTTTTTTTCACGACATTTTCACGATGATTAACAATTTTTTTTTTTTTTTTTTTTTTTTTTTTACCTTTTAATCATTTCCTTTGACGTTTTCCTTTTTTTTCCTGACTCTTTTTCTCTCTCACTCTCTCTCTCTCCTTTTGTAAAAAGGTAATATTAATTACTTAATAAAAATTACTAATTAAATAATAATTTAATCCGCCATTTTTTTTATCGCCTTTTATTTATTGCAACCTCTCCCCCGTCTTTCCGTCTCCTCTTCTCCTCATCCCTCCCCCGTCTCCATTTCATTATTATAAATTTAACCGCTATAATAAAATTTTTATAGCGCTATATATATAAAAACGAAGGTTTAAAAGAGAATAAATGAAAGAGAGAGAGAAAGAGAAAAAAAAATTAAAAAAAAAAAAAAAATCATTTGCATAAGTAATTTTTATATATTGAAAAGTGATCATCGAATAACGGTCAATTATCATCATTATCATCATCATCATCATCATCATTATTATACGGCGGTTTTTTTTTTACCTCCGCCATTTTTTTTTTTTATATTGATAATTTATGTGTTTAATGCCCGCAAATGAATTTTTTTTTTTTCGTAAAGTTCGTACGGTAAATGCAAATGATGAGTTTCAAAATGTTATTAAATGCCAAGGATTTTAATTATCATTATCATCATCATCATCATCATTATCATCATCATGTTCGTAAAAACGGGTGCGTCGAAAATACCTGATGAAAATATTTTTTTTTCGTCTGCTTTTACTTTTTATTTATTCTTTTTTTTTATAATTTATAAAATAAATAATAAAAATTAATAAAAGCCGCGGAATATGTTTACGTTTCCATGCGTCACGTGATTTTATCGAGAATTTAAATTTTGGCGCCAAATTTAAAATATCAAAAATAAACAAAAAAAAATTTTTTAAAGGATGTGAAAAAGCAGGAGAAGGAGGAAAAGAAGGAGAAGTGAAATTCGTAAATTTTTCTCTGAGTGATCGATTCGGGAGGAAATGAGGAAAAGGAAAGGGGAAGGAAAACCGGAAGTGAAAATTTTCCGAAAGGTAAAAGGTTATAAAATAAATCAAAAAAAAACTTTTTCGTAAAAGATTTATTACGCGACGTATAAAATTCAAAGTGAAATTCATTTTTTCAGGAAAAAAAAAATTGGGAGGAGGGAAAATTTTGTCTGGAAAATTTTTTTGAATATTTTACCGGAAGTGTAAAAGTGTCGGTTATAAAAAGTTAAAATAGAGAAAGAGAGAGAGACTGATGTCGGTTAAATGGAAGAAAACGGTATAAAAACGGTATAAATATCTAAATTGAAAAAAAAAAAAAACGACGCCATTTTTTTTATTTTTATTTTACTTTTTCTCTCTCGAGAGAGATTATTTCCACGTGCGAACTTTTTTTTTTTTACACGTCACGACAGAATTCCTGTTGTGATCTTTACCGCCGACGCCTCCGTCTGACACGTCGTTCTAATAAAATTTTATTATTATTATTATTGATTATTATTTTTGGGCGAAATTTAAAAAAAAAAAAAACTGGAAATGAAACGACGTCGAATTTGTCGTGTCCGCCATTTTTCTTTTTTTTTTAACGAAACACGTCATACGTTTGCGGTCATTAATGAAATTTGATACAATGGGCATTAATTCGATAGGAAATGAATATTTTTTTTTGCCGTGCCCAAATCCGTGTAAATAGGATTTAAACTAGTTTTACTTTGTTTTTTGTTTGTCGTTTGCACATTTCTGATTAGTGCCACGACTTTTTTTTTTTTGTTTAACGAATTAAATTTTTTTTTTCTCTTTTTCTTAGAGTTTATCTTTTTCTTAATGTTTGCCTTTCATAAAATCGTTAACTTATCGTAATATAATTTCGTAACCGTTTATCTCCTGCCACGTTACTTTTTTTTTAAACAAATATATTTATCAAATCGTTCATTAAAACTTTTCTAAAATCGGCCGTCGTTGTTTTTACTTTTTTTTTTTTTTGGAAAAGGTTTCTCATCCGTTCTTTTTTTTCCCTCCTTTTTCTTCTTCCACGAACAAATAAATTTCGTCTGCTGTTATAAACAGTAAGAGAGCGTAACGAAAAAAAAAAAACAAAAAAAAAAAAACTTTCTCACTTCTTGTCCGCCGTGTTTTTTATATCACCCGATGAAAAAGTACACACGTATCGAACATTAAATCTCAATTCGAAATCCGTTAAAATGATAATAATGATAATGATGATGATAATAATGATGATGATGATAATAATAATAATAATAATAATAATAATAATAATAATAATAATAATAATAATAATAATAACAATAAAAATCCGACAGTTGACATTTTCAAAAAAAAAAAGAAATCGTCTTATAAAAAAAATTTTTATTTTAATTATTAATTATCGGATATTATAAAAATTATTATTATTATTATTATTATTATTATTATTACTTATCGATAGAAAGTTTTTTTTTTTTTCGACGTTGATTTTGCAACGCGCGCGTAATCACATTTTCGTCGCGTACTTTATTTTAATAATAATAATAATAATAATAAAATTTTTTCATTTTTCTTATAAAAAAGTTTTTTATTTAATATTACCATAAAAAAAAAAACTTTCTCCGCGTAATAATAATAATAATAATAATAATAATAATGATAATGATAATAAAAGAATACGTTTTGCAGATATTATCATCATCATCAACATCACCATCGTCGTCGTCATTATTGATTATTATTATTGTTATTGTTATTAATTAGAAAGTTTTCAA